GTCATCTGATCCTATTTTTGCAAAATGTACATATGTGATTATATACGTGCATAGAAAATGTGAACATTTAAACACTCAAATGTCAATTGTGGTTGTTTCTGAGTAGTGTGATGGCAGGAGTTTTATTTTGTTCTCTTTACTTCTCTGCATTTATTATATTGAGCATGTTTTTCATGCATAATAAGATAATCAGTAAAAGGTATTAAAATATACTTCTGTTCTATTTCATGTTGTGAAAGTTAAATGTCGTATCATTCCTCCCCTTAAATGGTAATTATCCCTCTATATTCATCCAACTGCCTTGATCCATGGATTGGTTTAGTGGAAGTGTTTCTCACTCAGGTCAGAAAAGGCAAAACTAAAAAGTTGTGCTTAGTTCACACTCCTACCTCTCCCCCACCCCTCACAGAAGACACAATTTTTACTTGCAAAGAGATAGGCAGAAGACTGAAAGATAGATTTGAAGTTTACTTTTTTCTGCTATAACTAAACCTGTTATTCCATCTATGGTTTTCAGAGTAATTTCCTCCATATATTAATGCTTTACCACTGTCATAAAATTCCTGATGCTACCTATTAAAGTAATCAATAATCCAAACAAAATAAGATATTATTATCACTCTTAAGTGTTCTGGGCTCATGTCAGTAATATCAGAGCTTACTGCTTCCATAAAAAGTAACTGCTGAAAAGAAACTAACACAAACGATTATTTCCCATAAGATATAGTTTAGAGAATTACGATTAAATATACAGAGAAGCTAACCCTTTATATAGGGAGGTCATTCTTTTTACTCTGAAGGTAGATAGCCCCCCCCCCCCCCAGTTCTGCAAATCCACAGTCAGTAGTAGTTGCTTAGAACATGGCTATGTTATTTTTGATGTCTTTTAAGCTTAATTTTATTTTACCTAAGAACACAATATGTTAGCATAGTATGTCACTTAAAAATACTGAGAAGAGAAAATCATCCCTTTCCATTTCTTTGCTTTACATTTTTAGTGTAGGAAAACTAAATTCTCTTTTTTAGATTAGTGATTTTTCAGGGGAGGAAAAAGTTTTGGATTTTTGAGAGGTGAAACAGAAAGGAGCTTATTATATAGCAATAATCAAGGATATTATCAGGTTTTTTAAAATTTTCATTATCTTGGCTATAGTTGGTTAATCAGTTAGGGAATATATTTATGAGAAGTGGTAATAATTTCTAATAATATTTTGGTTCTTCATTTTTTCCCCCTTACTCACTCCATCATTTCATCCACAGAAAAACAAGAAATCCAGAATATTTAGTAAATCATAACAGTTGAAAGATTTTAAATGTTTTTCTAAACATTTCTTTTGTAATTATAAAAGACTTATGATAATAATTATAGGTTATGGTACTTTAATAAATCAATTTAGCTTTAACTCTAAAGATAAAAAGTATTTTCATTTATTTTTACTATGGGATGAGCAATATAATTTCTTCTTAGAAATTCTGGTGGGTAGCCTAATGATGTGACACTGAGAATAATGGGACAGAAAAACAGCCTGACTTGACAGAAAAGCCTATTTTAACTTTTGTTGGTATTCACTAGGGCTTCACACATAAGTACATGTGAATAACTTTTTAAAATGTCCAATACTTGTAAAAGCAATTCTGAGGCTTTAAAGTGTTAGCTCTCACTTAAAAATCCTGAAATATCCCTGAGATGGCTTGCTAATTCCTAGAGTAGTTCCCTGCCTCACAATGTGTCAGTTGGGAGAAAGAAGGGAAAAAAAAATCCACCCTGACTGCAAAAGTACATAGAACTCTCTTCATGCCCGTCTATACATCCGTCCTCATTGTGGTGAGGCTGGACTCATCTTTGCCCTGCGTATTTGATATGATACCCATCCTCTAAAAGGTCTCCGACCTCCAAGCTTTCTCTCCCTCCAGCCTTCCTTCCACCTGTGCAGTTAGAGAAATCCTTCTAGAACAGTAATCTGATCTCTCAGTTTACACACTTGGGCAGTTCCCCTGGCAGGAGCACAGAAGTATTTCTTAAAACAATATCTGAGAACTTCTGGCATAAAGCTGTTTTATTCCTTTTTTATAACAATTTAAAAATTTTAACAAGTAGCCTCTGTTCTTCCAAATGAATGCCCTTGTAACTGAGTAGAGTTCATGTTCATGCATGTGTGGCACTGATGATATCTTGTACTTTGTGTATAGAAGTACTTTCTTTTCCAACTGCTCCATAGCTTGGAGCTGTGTTCTCAGAGCATTTTGAGAAGATCCAGATAGTACTTACATGTAAGAAACTAGTCCATAGGACAGGCTCCAGATCCTTCAGTGTGGATGAAAGACTCTTTGTTATCTGCCTCTCACTCTTCCTCCCACTTCCTGTCCTTCATATTGTCCCTCAGACCCTGCACGTTGGCCCATGAGTGACAGCAGCCCTGTAGAAGCTGGACCATTTCAAGCATTTGCCCTTTCTTGCTTAAGCAGGCCTTGGCCAATGATAAGTCCCTTTCTTTCCTTTTTCTACCCCTCCCCCTGCCGCCTTTGCTGATGACTCCATTGTCAAGTACACTAAAAGCTACTACCTTGAGTGTAGTTATTGTGTACACAGGGAAGTATATCATTAGCAAATGATCCCCTAATTGTAGTAGCTAAAACCAACATTTATTAAAACACAGTTTCAGTGGTTCAGTAATCTGGGTGTGCTTAGCCTGAGTCTTCTGGCTCCAAGTCTCTCCCAGGCTCATTGTTTCCTAGCAACTCACATGACGGTTGGTGATATTCAGTTCTGCATGGGTTAAAGCACTGAGACTGCAGATCTTTATGACCTTCTGCCCTGGGAACCTTCCTCAGTTACTTAATTCACACATGATGGCTTGTTTCATCCAAGTATGAGAGAGCATTCAAGAGAGAGTACTGGAAAGAGAAGAAGTTAGTTTTTTGGAATCTAATCACAGAAGTGACATGCCTTTATTGTCGCTGTGTTCCATTTGTTAGAAACCATGGGCTAGTTCCAGCCCATGCTCCAGGGTAGGGGACTGCATCCTAAGAAGTGGGGATTACTGGAGGATAAGATATCTGTCTGCTACAACCTGCAGAGGGCCCTTTGTAGGCAAGCCCAGGTGGGGAACCGTGGTCTGATTGGAAGGCTGTTTTTCCTCTGCCAGTCTTAAGTCTGAACTTCTTATAGTGCAGGTATCTTTTGCTGTGATTGATTCCAAGGTTCAGAAAGAGGTATATTTAAATAATCTGTCTCCTAAATGCTATTTGAATGTCAACTCCCTCATCTGATCTTCAACTGAAGAGTAAATGGCACTATTTTAGTGCTGGAAGAACTCTCTGTGTTGGACTTACTAAGAAAAGGTGATAGAGGTCTCCAAGGCAGTGCATTTTTAAAAGACTACAAATGTAATCTTGACCACACAATTTTGGGTTCATGCAGTGAATTTAACTTCTAACTCAGTAAAATAAGTCATCTGTACTTCAAATTTAGCACCTATAGAATTGCTGTACTTTGTTTACTTGCTTCTCTTTGGCTGGAAGCCACTTGACAGTTTGGTTCATGCCTAATTCATTTCTAACATCAGCACTTTGCCTGGCTTTTAGGCACTCAGTATCACACACACACACACACACACACACACACACCTGATATTCTGACTTTTCTGCCTTTTTTTTTTTAAATATCCATTAGTAAATGTATTAAGAATTGCTAGGATTTTATAGATTTTCTTTGGCAAAATGTTTAAATAGAGTGACCTAGGTCTACAATACCTGTAATTTTTGTGTTACTTTGCTGGCTAGTTAGACCATTGCTGTTTTTGCCCAGAGATCAGAGTTCTCTACTTATCTCTTTACAGTTTCCAAATATTTTGTCCTTTTAAGTTAAGGGGATTGCCCTGATTTTATGATGACATTTGGGTACGGTATTTAAACTTTTAAAAGTTATGAAAATGACCCTTTGATATTAAATGTAATAAATGGTTCTGTACTGAATACATGTACAGTTTCTCTTATATAAGCTTTCTATGCCCAAACGGTTCAGTTATGTATTCTTATTGTAATTGGATTCTATGGCATTCTCATATCCCCCAGGAGTAGGTCAAGCCCTGAGCATTCCTCATGGCTTGATGTTCATATAATCTCTGGGTCTTTTGAAGCTAGCTCTAAATTGATCTATGGGACTTGTAGGAGTGCTTGACCTACTAAATCCTGAAGATGCAGGCATGGTGTCTCTGCAAAGAAATAAAACAAAATCCAATAGTTTAATTTCTAAGAGATTTATTGATACCCCCAAGTAAGGGGGTGGATGGATGTCTTCTACAACTGACCTATCTTTGTTTTTTATTACCAAGAATATTTTCTTTTGTGTGTATCCTTTGCACTGGGTTCATTTGTCCTGCCTTGTAGTTTTGCCTTCAGTTCTTATAAAATTGTATTTGTTTGTGTTAAGTTAGACTATAAACTCTTCAGGAGTAGAGGTTATTCTCTTTCTTGTTTTTTCTTGATTTCTTTGGTCTTTTTCTCATCTTGTACCATTATTATATCAATCTAGAAAAAGATGCCAGGCAATAGGAGGTTTAATCCAGATTTAATGATGATGCCTTAGAATAGATTAAAGATGGGGAACTGGCCCCCATTTTGACTCTTGTAGTGAGGAGTGAGTTCCAGAACATTTTGTAACAATACTAGTTAACTCTGGGAAAAGATGGGTGCCAGGCTCTCCTTGACCTCATAAATACACCAGTGTATGATTCTACCATGAAATTGTACGGCAATATTTTCTAGTTTATGATTTATTCACAGTTTAATATGCTTCTAGTTCTGGCTTGACTTTTCCCCTAGGAAGAGACTAAAATCTCTTCATTATAACATAGACAGTGTACTGCACTTTGAATACAAATTTATCCATGTTCAGAGCAATTTTTCTTGTGATTGTCTCTACCCTGGAGAAGTACCTTTAATGAATTACATACAAATTGTGTAATTTAAGAAGTTAATTTGGTTTTCTGGTTACACAGGACTAAAAACAGCCCTTGTAGAAAGAGATGATTTCTCATCAGGGACCAGCAGCAGAAGCACTAAATTGATCCATGGTGGTGTGCGATATCTTCAGAAGGCTATCATGAAGTTAGATATTGAGCAGGTAATTGTGTATGCTGGTTGTTAAACAAAAATTGCAACTATGCTTTCTTTTTTTCTATCCAATTAAATGAGACTTTTTGTTAAACGGCTCTAACATTTCTTCATTTCTTCCTGTTGAAAATACTTGTTCTGCTGGACTATCTTGCAGAAGAGGTATGCCAGTTCTTTTCTGTAATATGTTTATGAGTGATTAGGGACTTTTCCTACACAGGCATATCAAAGTATAGACTTTGAAAATCACTTTTTGATGTGTTGCCTTTTAACAATTTCGATTTGTTTCTTGTTTTTTTTTTTTTGTTTTTTTTTTTTTGCCAATGGCAACTGAATTGCTATTTCCCAAGAAGTTTCAGGAGAGCTATATTGCAGTATGGAAGGAGTATTAAATTGATCTTCCTAACTGCAACTGAAATCTTATGTTCATTTTGTTACTGATATGCTCTTAAGAAAAAGGTGTTCTTTGAAAATCACTTTTTGATGTGTTGCCTTTTAACAATTTCGATTTGTTTCTTGTTTTTTTTTTTTTTTTTTTTTTTTTTTGCCAATGGCAACTGAATTGCTATTTCCCAAGAAGTTTCAGGAGAGCTATATTGCAGTATGGAAGGAGTATTAAATTGATCTTCCTAACTGCAACTGAAATCTTATGTTCATTTTGTTACTGATATGCTCTTAAGAAAAAGGTGTTCTGGGTTATGCTTATCTTATGCAGCCATTTATTTTGTCCAGGCTGCTACCATTTGAAAACTGCAAAGTCAGTGTGGAAGGTGACATTTCCCAGAGGGGCCCTTCCAAAAAAAATCTGAACTACTTACCTGCTTTTCATATGTGAAAAACACAGGAGCACTAACTTGACATTGTCAGTTTTGAATCTGCCTCTCTTTCTTACATCTCTTTGGCATCAGGATGGATGCGTGGCAAAGAGTAGGGATTTAGAATCAGATGATTCATGGCATATTCCAGCTTATTTACTCAATTTTTGTGAATCTCAGGTTTCTCATTTGTAAAATTAGTATTGTAATAGTAATGTTGGCTCTTCAGAAAGGTGACATGATGGCTAAAGGAGTTATAAGACAAAAGCTTTTTTTATAATCTATAAAATGTTCTTCAACTCCTGGGTGTCATTTTTGCTTGGGATAGTGGAGACAAGAAGGAAAGGCTGAGAGTGAATTTGAGCAATCTGTTATCTCTTACATGAGAAATATAGGGAGCTATGAAAGGGGACAATACAGAGAATGCAAGATAAATTGTTACAATAATCTTGTGACTCAAGTCAGGAAAATATCTTACACCTGGGAACTCTGACAGCATGTTTTTCTCCTATGCAAATATAGTTAAGGTTTCTAAAAAATCTTTCAGGTTGACAGCATGATGTATTATTAGAAATTTGATTAGGAGGGAGCTATCCTCGCTCAGAGGTAAGAGAGGTTTCTGTGTATCAATCAGTTGGCAGGGTGTCTATTTGCCATTTGAAAATATTATGATCTGTTACTGCCAAACTAATTTTCTCTGTTTTGCTTTTCAGTATAGAATGGTAAAAGAAGCCCTTCACGAACGTGCCAACCTACTAGAAATTGCTCCCCATTTATCAGCTCCACTGCCTATAATGCTTCCAGTATACAAGTAAGCTCTTTGATTTCTTTCTATTATTTTCTTATCTGAGGTCAGTAGTCCAGTTGTTTTAATGTGTATTTTTTTTTAATTGGTTGTGCTATTTAATCATTTTTAAATATTTTCCTTTGTTATATTTATAAATGTGCCTTTTCCTAGATTGCTCTCTTCTGCCCTACCTCTAAGGGCTAGACCTCCAAAAGCAAAAGAGGTTGTGTTTTATATGTGTAATTAGTAATTTCTGTATCCAATTTTGTGATAATATGTAGAGAAGCACTGGGCAACACAAGCAGGTCATTTGCAGACCAAAATGCAAAGTCAAATAGTATCCTGCTTCAAAATCCAAACCTAATATTTACCAACTCTAATCCTAAATCATTTTGAATAGTTTGAAATTTATAAACTAATGAAAAATGAAAACTGGTTTGGAGAGTTCCAACTATCAGTTACGAAAACCACTTATACTGATAGTAGAGCTATCTATGAAATCACCTTATTTGGAATACATACACTATAAAAATGAACTGTGTAACTATTAGCCATGTGAGTATTGTGAGGACCTAGAACCAGATTTTACATTTTTTGTTTATTCTCTGTTATAGATTAAACGAGTGATTGCTCTGGGTGAACCTTAGCATCATGTAGTTCCCCTACCAAAGCTAGTTAAATAAATCTCTAGAAATGTGAGACCTAAGCATCTGAATTACTTTTGATGTTTTCTAGGGAATGCTAATATGCATCCAGGTTGAGCCCTACCTTGCAAATGATTTCATTTACTTACAAAATGCCACTAGGTTGTTGTCAAAAAGTCGTGCAGTTCTCTTGTTTCCTTTGCAATACCCATGTAGATATATTTTACCTAAAGTAACATTCTAAAATGTTCGCTGTCTGAAGAAAGTTTTCTTCCTCTGCTACTGTAGGTGGTGGCAGTTACCTTACTACTGGGTAGGAATCAAGCTATATGATCTGGTTGCAGGAAGCAATTGCCTGAAAAGTAGTTACGTCCTCAGCAAATCAAGAGCCCTTGAGCATTTCCCAATGCTCCAGAAGGACAAACTAGTAGGAGCAATTGTCTACTATGATGGTATGTGGTTTTTTTTTTCATTCGATGCTTTTCTTACATTCATGATCCTTATAGTTTATTCTTCTTTAAAATACTTTGCTTTTACTTTTATTGCTAATCTTACACAGCTCAAAAATACATGTACACACATGCTTTCCATTTTAGCTAGTATGAACTGAAACTGCTCATAGTGTTTTCCTTTTAATATTGTTTATTTTTGCATATTCCTTTTATTCTTTCATGTCTACTTTGTATCTCATGGTTGGTTTGGTACATTTTGCGTCATGAATTTGGACCCCACCCTTGTTCCATTTAATGTGTAGCGTGTTTGCCAGCAAATATTTCTCTTATGATGAATACAGCTGAGCAGCTGTTAGTTTTTCTAGATAAAACCTCTGTTTTCAAGAGTTTATAAACCTATGGAAAAATGCCCCCAGCCTGAAATTTACATGTTTATATTTTGCACAGGATATAATTTTTGAACTTAACGTTTATATGCTGAAGGTAGATGAACATTGCATCCACTTTTATTGCTTATTTTGTAAATGTTAGATGCTCTCTAACAGTGCCTTTGCCTAGTAGCCATTTACCATGTGTTTCAGTTTCATTCAATGTGTATATGTGTGTGTGAGAACAATCTAGTTTTGTATACTTTTTAAAAAAAATTTATTTATTTATGGATAAAGAACTGGGTACAGGCCAGAGGTGCAGGGACGGTGAGAGGATTCACCATACACAGAGTGGGGAGCAGAACAGGCAGATAGATGAAGTACACTGCTGAGGGGAGCAACGGGCGGGTCAGGAGAGGTCTGCCACGCCATGTGGATCTCCTCCGGGGCAGGCGGGCATCGAACTCATGCGGAACTGGCTTTAGCTTCTTCTTCTTCTTTTTTTTTTAATGGCTTTAGTTTCTTAGTGCAGTGCTTTAACCCGCTGCGCCACCAGGGAGGGCCCAGTTTTGTATACTTTTACTTGAGGAAACTAATCACTTAACACATCTATAGGACACTATAGTAAAAAACAAACCATGAAAAGCAACTTGTGAAATTTTATTCATAAAGACTGTATGAAACTGGAAATAGTCTGAGAATATCCATTTATAAGAAACAGTTGGGCAGAGATAACTGTCTAACTCAAAAAGTCTTGGGAATCTTATGGCATAAAGGACGTACAGAGTAGGCTTTGTAGATTAGTTCATTTTTTAACTGCCATTATCAGATTTTTTTGGTATCTACTATTAAATATTTAAACTCTTAGCTTGAAGAAATATTTTTTGCTTTTTGCATTTTCAGGTGCCTTTCATGCTTATACTTAATATTACCAGGTATTATCTGGCTGCCCCGCACATTTTTTTCTTCTTGTCATTGTTAGTTTCTAAATCAATTTAACTGTCTGTCAGACCTTCATGTGTGAGTGCAAAATGTGTATGTGCAGAGGGAGCAATGGGGACAAACAAAATGTCCTACGAGTAATAATATTAGAAAAATGTTAAGGGTCTTAGACAAACATTAAAAGCTATAAAATTCACATTTTCAGTGCCTTCCAGCATCCGAACACCACAGGGGGTGTTACTTAACTACTTTTTTTGGTGCCCTTGATTGAGCCTACATGTTAAAGGACAATCTTAACTGTGTGAATTTGCTTTCTCTGAATCAGACCCTTAATGTAATTCATTGTAGTTTTTTTTTGGTGATTGTATTAAAAAGGTTTTTGGTCCAGGAGGAGTAAGGCATTCTGCAAATGGCATCTGTCCATCTTGACCCAGAAGTGTTTGTAGCCTTTGTCTCTTATTGCTATTCCCTCCCAAACAAACCCTTTCACATACTTGGCATTTTCTCCAGCATGTGATGTAGTAATACTACTTTATTCTTTTATCTTGTGTATATTTAAATTACCTTAAGAGGTATATTAATGGATGGGTGTCATATCTCAGTTTGTGATGCTCTATATTATATCGATTTGATACTCTTAAGAATAGTAGATTTTTACTGATTTTACATGAAGAAATCAGGGGAAATGTATGTCACATAATGCGGCAGAAATATTACCCTGGTGAAAGCAAGGGGAAGAATTCTTTCTTTAATCTTGAATTGACTTTTATAGATGCCACAGTTTGCAAAATTATGAGTTTAGCAAAAATTATTCAAAAGAATCAAAATCATTTTTAAAAATAATTTCAAATTGATATTTGAAAACTGATTGTGAGATCTCAAGTCTTGAATCTAAAAGGTAAAAGTAATTAATATTCAAGTCATTTGAAATTCATACCTTTTTTAGTCTTGTTCAGAAATGATACAGGCCCAGCTATGTCATATTTGAGGGATCACAAAGCAAGAGTGTGGTTCTCTGGTTTCACAACTGTATTCACAGATAGGACATACATTTACCTAAAGGTAAGATAAATTAAATATCAATTTGGAAATAAGGCACAAAGGAGCATATAAGTTAAAGAATTAAATACACTAAATATGTGCTCAGAGAAAGGAAGAGATGCCTTACCCTTAGATCAGAAAAATAGTATTAACAGCCTGCTAGCAAAGTGTTTGAGGAGGAAAAAAATAATTTCTTAATATTTACAATTGCAAATGAAGTTTAAACATTGCAATTTATAAGATAACCTGTCTTAACATGATGAAAAGTACTCTTCATAACTATCCATTATTAGAATGTAAATAGCAGTAACTCAAATAATTTTAAAATCACTTAAGCTGCTTGATATATATTACTTCAAAAATAATTTATCAAGAGGGAAAATGGCACAAAATGATGTGAAAATAAACTATTATATTATTAAAAAAAGATAAATTGAGAAAAAATTTTATTGAGGTGAATGCATATAACATAGTATTAACCCTTTTAAAGTGGACAAAAGTAACAAATTTTATAACTCTCACCTTAGAATAATCTTGATTATGATGAAAAAGAGGCACAAGCTATTACTAGATAAATTGTTAAATGCTACAGGAAGTTTCGCTAACTAAAAGTCTTTTTGGTAATATATCAAACAATTACTTCAGCACCAGGAAAAAAGAAACACAGTGGTGGGAAAGTATAGTCAGACCAGTAAATATTGTCATGCACTTGGACCAGTGGGTGAGATAATCTTTAAGGTTCCTGTAACACTCATGTGTGTTATAGCTATAAGATTTTCTCTGAAATATGTAACGTACAAAAGTCAAAAAATTTTTCTAACTACTCCTAAGAGAAATCAATCTTAAATAAATAGTGATGGTCATTGTATGTGATCAAGGCACTATCTTTTCTACAATAGTCAATCGAGATAATAAGATAAATTCTATATACTTTTAAATGTGGTAAATAGTGCCTATTCTCTGCTTGGCATATATATAATCCATTGCCATATTTTGTTGTTATTGCTAAAAAACAAACACACATCAGAAGGAATAACTGCTATCATTTCAATACAAAGTAGATGTCAAATTTCTCAGTAAAATCCATATAAAATGAAAGGATAGGAAGAGATATACCTGTTTATAATTCTCCTTATATTCTGCTAGAAAAAGCATACTGTCAACTCACTGGTTTTTCTGACAGAGACATGCCCTAGTGTTTTCTATCAGCAAATTGCTGAATCGTATAGAAAGGCCACCGGTTGGAACCCGCCATCACTGTCACCACTGGTAGGGGGTTACTAGGAAGAAAGAAGTGTTTAAGGTACACAAGGAGTGTTTAAGACATGACAGACTCGGCTGACTCAGGCTGTGAGATTGTGTGAACCAGTTGTGACGGGGATAGCTGGTTTCGCAGGAACTTATTTGTCTTTCTCAACTTACTTCAGTTTTCCTGTTCATGGAGTAGATCTTTGGTGCCATTCAAGTTGGACTCCAGTCATCCATTCTACTGTATAGAAAATGAGATATAATTAAAAATCATTAAATATTTAAAACCATTAAATATGCCCATTAAGCTTCTGTAAAATAAAACTGGAGACTAAAATTGAAGTCTTAAATTCCTCACAGAGTCAAAGCACTGACAGAGAGAGATGTCTGTTATTTCATACCCAACGATGCCCTTAAGTATTCCTTATGCACATATGAAAATAGCAACCTGCAAGGAATTACACTGCGTTTCTTACTGCAAATAAAAGTTAGTTACATCGATGCTTTAAAGGGGAAATTAAAGCCTAGGTTTCACTAGAATATTCATTTTTATTCCAACCTGAAACTCACAGCATACAAATAGATGAATTCAGCTTGTGACAGAGCAAAGCCAATTTAATCTCTGGCTCCCCTGAGGTAAATGTAGTTCATGGTCCTGCCCCCACCCCAACCTCAGCCATAATCCCTGACTCCTGGAGGTAAAAATGCACTGAAGTGAGGAAAATTCTGCAGCAGGATATAATGATCCAAAATGACAGGGACAATAATGACAATGAATTTCATGTCTCCCAGTCATGAGCTGGAGATGCTTGACTAGGCTGACTTATACAATTAAATTGTTACAGGTACAGCAGGAGATGCAGTTAGCTGTGTGCTTTGGGGAGCGATGCCTCTGGCAAAAGGGATATTGTGGAATCCAGATTCTTCTGTAAGGAACAAACTATTACTCCTCTAGGCATAGGCATACACCGCAATGTACACTTTAATAAAAAGAGAGGCTGGGCTAAAGACAAGTCTTTTAAGGTGTTGATTTTATCTACTTTGAAAGCTTAAAAAAATCAATTACCCAATAACACAATGGCGAATTTTTTCTTGGACTTAATGTTTTTGTTTTTGTTTTCCTGTTGCTTTCCTGGAACATAAGTCAAGTCTAAAGGTGGTACCTTTAATCGTTATTTATACTATTTGTAAATATAATTGTTGGGATTAGCTGGGTGTTATCACTTTAAATCTTTTTTTTTATCACTTTAAATCTTAACCAACACATTAATTTCTTCAGATTACTAAAAGTTAGTTGAATAAATAGCTGAATACTATAGATTCACAAACAAAATAGCAGTGCCATTATCCAAGCTTGGCTAAGTGCTTTTAATGCAGTGCTTGTAAGGTCAGCATGGTCAT